TAGCTCTGGTGAGATAGAGATTTTGCTGGAAACTAAAATAATAATGACAATGTTATTCTTTTTTTTTTCTTTTTGCAAAATTTTATCTCCTACTTCTTTTCATTTATTTTTGTTGACAGTTCTTGCAAGGATTTACCTGTCTCATTTCTTTTGGGAGATGGATGTACATATTTCTCACCGTATCTTAACTTCAAGAGCTCATTATCAGAGAAAAAATAATTATTTTCAAGAAGAGTTGAATGTGTCACAAAATAGGGTTACTATAAGTAGTTGCTTTTGACAACTCTGTGAAGCATGGTCTGTTTTGTTTTGCTTTGCTAATTTTAGAAAGTTCTGCTTGTGTTTGTGAAAGGGAGGCAAGAGAAAATAAAAAGAAGAAAATAGAAGTCATTTAAGGGAAACAATGTAAGAGAAGGTGCCTTAAAGTTTAAATGATACATACATGCTAATTACTGTTGTTGCAAGGTGAGAAAAAGGATTCACAATGATTCTGAGCCTCTGGGAAGCCAGGGCAGAATGTTATGGCTGTGTCTAGATATCCCCCCAAAACCTCATAGGTCATAAATGGGGCTATTTAGAGGTGCTTGGATCTGAAAATGTATGGTGCTAAAACCAATTCCTAATACAGTGCTAAAATCAAGGGCACAAGGATTAAGGGTATGAGTTCTGCTTGCCCTAAGTAGCCTAGATGAAACGAAACAGGTTAAAAAAACATGCTGTGGTCATCCTTTGTTGTTTACTGCCCAACATACACTAACCCAGATGCTTGTCTGCCATGCCACCTGCCTTGGAGCTAGCCAACTAATGGACTGAAACCTCTACAAATAAACCTTTCCTCCCTTAACTTGTGAGTGTTGGATATTTTGTCTCAGCAGTTAAAAAAGTAACTAAAATAGTCACCAAGAAAAGATAATTATATTCTGAATTCTTTAAAAAAATAATCCACTAGGGTTGAAGTTAAACCCATTTAATACTTAAATGAGTAGTCCTTTAACTGTTATGAAAATCTTGGTCATTCTCAATGTTTTATTCTTGAGATTTCTAAAAAAGAAATTATACTGCATTGTACCAAGAGAAAGATATGGTGTGTAATAATTTAAGGAGTTATTGAATATATTGTTTTTGAAGTGTATAAATAACCTTCTTTTAAAAAGTTGCAATAAGCAAAGCCATTTTTACAAATTCACCTTTTAAGTCAGTAGCACCAAATAGTTAAGCAGAGATATTTGAGTATCTTAAAATAGTTAAATGAGGATAGTAGATCTAGCAGCTGTTGACATGAATTGTTTATTTTGGAGAAAATTCTTGACATTTTTGCTCCCCATCAGCATAATAAGAGTTTGCAGGAGAGGAGGGAAGCGTTAATGTATTTTTTGAGGATTAATGGCCTTGTAGAGCATTTGTGGTGGTGAATATATTGTGGAAAATACCATAATCATAGTAATTAAAAAGCCACACAGTAAATACTTTGTGGACTGGCAAATATATACCTTAACTTCCCTTGATGGCTTGCGCTCAAGTGAATAGCATATTGTTTATTTTGGTCTCTTAACATTCTTAATAGAAAGAAGAATAAGATAATCTCAGAGATTTTTTTCCTTCTCAAGGTATTGCTGATCAGATAGGCAGAATCACATTTAATTCTTTCAGGATCAAGTTATTTGTTGTTCAGAAAAGTGTCACATAGTACGTGCAATTAAAAAACCACAATTCCTTCTTAGCTGTGGAAGCATTATTATTAAAATTGTTTCCAGACGAATCCTACCATGTGTGACTATGTAATACATAAAATGTGTTTATTGTGATCATCGATATCTCAGAGCTTATGTATGAAAAGAAATGAAATGGTGGGTAATAAAGAAGTGTACAGTAGGGCCAGGACATAGGCTTATAACTGAGGTGGGTTTTCGAGGAAGCAAGGCTTTCATTATCCCATTACGGTTTATCTTGTTGCCGGTGGGTTAAACCTAAGCAGGCTGCTGTGTGCGTGAGCATCTGGGAGGAGAGGCGCCTGGCGGCTCCAGTAATGAAGTTCTGTCCTTCACCGGGAGAACAAAGAAGGCACACAGATGGGAAGCCTGCAGTGCCACTTCGTTGTTTGCTCACAGTATTCATAGATACCTGGTTTCCCGTTTAAGAGGCATCCTGTTTTCATAACTTCCGAAATCTTTCACTTAACACTTTATTTATTTATAAAGATTTTCTTCTGTGAAAAATAAGTGCCGTTGAATCCAATTTTCAGCTTTGCTTTGAGTTAATTAGGCCAAAAAAGGAAGATATAGGATGCGAACTTCTGTTTCCACTGCTTAATTGGCCATCTTATCTCTTAGTTGTGAAAATTCTTTACTTATGTACTGGTTTATTGGTTCATTACACATTTATTGGCTGCTTACTATATCTTAGCCCCTGGGATGCAAAGATGGATGAGTCAGCTGGGAGACATCTGATGCCTTTGGAAGCTGCTCGGTCCTGGCTGCTGACATTGAGGACATTATGGTTCTAAATGGCTGTCAAGTTGCAGAGATGAACTGGGTCTCATTCATATACAGAAGAGATAAACCATGAGGCAAACTCAGGATTCTAGGGATCCCAGAGGCTTCTTCAACCATATCAAAGTGCTTTTCAAAGGTGTTTTCCACTGGGTTAGGTTTCTAAGGAACTTTAGCCATTACTGGGATGCGGTCCTTAAGTGATGTCACTTGGCCCTGTTTGTGGATTTATTTGCTCAGACTGTAGGTGGAAAGTGTTCAGAGACCTGAAGAGGAGGGTATAACTGCAATCTTAAAAGGAGCCATGCTAGGGAGTCTCAGGGCAGGTGCCACTGCTGACTGGACTGTGCTCTATGTGCCAGTGTCCCAACTCTTGCCAAGAGTGTTGACGTCACTGGGACTCTCACCTCCAACATCCCAATGCTATTAATTACAAATTTATTGTAACAAAATTCATCTTCACCATGCCTCTTCTAATATCAGAGAGTTGTGAATTCTCTTCCTCCTTTGAGGCCAGCCCCTTGGTCTGTCCTCTTGATCTTTTCCTCTACCTCAGTGAAGATCTGATTCATTGCTATCTCTTCCTTCTGGGGCTCTCAGTCTTTCCCTCTGAACGGATTCCCTCCCCTGCATCGATGGCCTTCTGTTAGCACCGAAGGCTTTCCGAAGCCCTCCATTCTCTTCCCCTGCTATTCCACTTGCTCTGTGGATTCCACTGTCTCTGCCTCCCCCACTTCACTGTAACAGCCCCTGATCAAGGTGGCCAATGACTTCTTAAATGTCACACCTAAAGGTATATTTATCTTAAGTGCCACTGTACTTCTCTGACATCCTTTTCTGATTGTCTTCAAAAGATCCTTTTCCTCCGCCTGTTCTGTCATTGTTTGTGTCCTCTAGGATTTGGCTTTTAGTTCTAATCCTGTAATCTGCTAGCTCTGCCCTTGTTCCTTCAGAGATGTCCCCAACTTACATGATCTCTGCTGCTCTCCATGAAATAATCACTTCTTGTCCTTATATTTTGCTCAGGCTCCTTCCCAAAGCTTCATCACAGTTAAAAAAAAAAACACCTGGCACTTCCTGTCTGAGTGTCTACATCTTGATTTCTGGTTCCTCAAACTACACTCCTTGTCTTCCTTGTTTCTTCTGCTTTCTTCTCTACCTCAGTTCCCAGTATGTCCACACACGTAGGCAATCGGTTTGTCCTGCCTGTAGTTTCTGGAGGCTTTGCAGTATTCGTTCTTTTGCCCTCTCCCCACCTGCCTGTGCTGCCCTCAGTGCCATCCTGCCTCCCCTCTCTGAACAATTATAACAACCAAAGAGCTGCCCTATTGCTCTCCCTGTATCTACTCTGCTCCCTCCAGATACATCCAGAAGGAGTAAGACAGCTGCAACTCGGGGCTGATCCTTCTGTGGGTGTCTGCAACCAGGATGAAGGCAGAGTTTTCTGAGCGATGTGCAGACCTTTGATTTGGCCCTGGGCTGCTCCCTGGCCTCAGCCGGCACAGGGGCCAGGCATGCTGTGCTGTGCCCCACCCGGTGTTACCTCTGGCTTTTCCATGGGCAACTCCAGTCCAGCCTTAAGATACATGCTAGACTTCCCTTTTCCCTGCAAACCTTCTCTGACCTCTCCATTTCAGGGCAGGATGTCCCTGCTTGACATGAATCACCAGTTATTACTAGAATCACACTTCTCTTTGGGGTCAGTTTGTGTCTGTCGCTTGGCCCCGCTAGACTTTGCTTTTTCCAGATAGAGAAGCTGCCTTGCTTATCTTTGTAGCCCAGGTGCTCTACACAATGCCTTTCACATGCTACATTTTCAGTATTGTTTTATAAATGAAATACAAATAATGGCAGTAAATCAATTTGATGCTCATAAAAGGGGGCAAAAATTGTGTGGGATTAGAAGGGAGCATGAAGGGTGCTCTGCCCTATGGATAACGTTCCTCTTTGCACCCTCATTCAGCTTAGGAAAATCCCTCGAGCTGTCCAGTTGTGGGTGCATGGATGCCCTTTCTATATTTATATTATACTTCAATGAAAAGCATTTTTTAGAAGCAGTCTGACATGTTGCCTCTCCAGCATAGCAAATTTCCTTGTCTTCTTTCAAGCTTTTGGAATGTTACAGGACCTCAGCTCAGGTGTCATAACCGAGAGCCAGACTAGTGCTTTCTCGTGACATTAAGGAAGAATGAGATGCAAAAACACCAGTGGAATGTGGGTGGGGATTGGCCACACTTCTAGAGCAGGCCAACAAGGGCCACCCCTGACTGAGGGCCATGCAGTGGCCTGTACCTCTGTCACACTGATTCAGGGGTCACACATAAATTACCAGCAAGTTCCATGCCAGCCTGCAGTGACAAGGGAACTTTATCTCCAGTGTGACTATGAATAATTCATAAACATGGTTATCTAGAAATTTGTGGTCATCATTAGCATTTTAATGAAAAAATGCAATAATTATTCTAAGTCTCTGTTCTGTTTCTACCTTTTTTTTGTCTCCTCTCACTACAGCTAACCATCTCACTATCTTCTGAGTACCTGGGAGCTGTGGAGGCCCCTGCTAAAGTGCTGACTGTCACTATGGGCAGACGGTACCCAGAGGCTCCCTGTCATCCAGGCAGCTCATGTACGTATGGGATCTCATGCTTGCTTGTGTGTGTGCACCTTTTCTCCCCTCCCCTCCCCTCCCCTCGCTTCTCCTCCCCTCCCCTCCCCTCGCCTCCCCTCCCCTCCCCTCCCCTCCCCTCCCCTCCCTTCCCCTTCCCTTTCCCTCCCCTCCCTTCCCCTTCCCTTCCTCTTCCATTCTCTCCCTCTTCTCCTCTCTTGTTTTCTTTGTAGAATGTTGTAGGATAATGAAGTGGTGAAGAATCATAAGATGTGAATGAAGATATTTAGAAATGCAGAAAAATGGATTGCCCTAGTGTAGTGGTGGTGAACCTACAGCACGTGTGTTATTTGTATTTCTTTTAAGACAGGGGATGTTGTTGTATGAATTTTTTTTTCTAAACTGAAACTTCAGCATTCAGGGCTAGTTGCAGTCTTGGCACTTTGCTATAAAAGTAGGTTCTGAGTTGCAGTTTGGGCTATCTCTAAAAGGTTCACCATCACTGCTTTAGGGTAATTAATATTGAATGATGAGAAATGTTATCTAAATTAGGATTTTTTAATGAAGTGGCGCTATAAGATTAGATGATCAGCCATTTTATTTTTGTTTCAGTGCATTCATAAACAAGCATTTTTTAAAAATTACATCTCTTCCTTTTTCACAAAAATATATTTAACAATAATAGTGCCATAAATTTAAAAAAATGTCAATGACTGCTTTAATTTTTGAAACAAAAAAACTCAGGGACTTTGAAGAGATGTACTCTGGGCGTTTCTCTACCTCGTGTGCGGTAGGAGGAGAGCCCTGGCTCTTCCTCCCTGGCATTCTCCAAAGGAGGAGACTCTTAGGCTCCTTGGTGATGACTTTCTGTGTCTCACAGCACTTGAAGTTATTCTAGAAGTCTTTTGGGAGCTGTTGTAATTGCTTTCCTCTCCTATTTGTCTTTACTTTTATTAGCTTAAGAGAAAGAATGAGTTGGGTTTTTGTTTTGTTTTGTTTTGTTTTGTTTGAGACAATACCTCACTGGTCCAGGCTGGCCTTGAACTCACTGCGTAGCCCAGGCTGGTCTTAAACTCACAGTGATGTTCCTACCTCAGCCTTCCAAGTGCTGAGATTACAGGTATGAGCCACTGCATCTGACATGTGAGCACTTTTGTTTAATGGTCTGATCTTATTTACAGAAAGTCCAGTTTGTCTCTGATTTACTTTTTGCTATCTTTAGTCTTGCAACTTTGGGCTGGTTGTGTAGCTAGTCATTTACTCTTGTAACTTGCTTTTGGGCTGTCTGGAATTCTGGCTTCAAATCGAGCTGTGTTTGGGGGCATTTCCCAAAGTGCTTTTGCTCCCACGGCTCTGCTGTAGTTATATTTATTCATGTTTACCTTTCAGTCTCATTTCCTTAGAGATAGCTCAGTTTTTTCTTCCTCAAAAAGTCAAATCCACCTTCAAGACATTTATAAAATAAAATAGTTAAAAGTAGTGACAGTGAGAAGGAATTGCTGGCAGCAGTGCAGGAATTCAGACTACCAGCTTTGAGCCTGCCAGTGTTGCGGCGGACAGCTTGTCCACATGGACTCATATCTTCAAGGTCATGATGACAGCTTTATATTAAATTTAGTGATTTTCATAATCCCTAAGTTGCATGTCCTCAGAAACACAGACCAGAATTTGATGAACTGGCCAATGCTTGCTTTTGTAGGAGCTGAGGGTAGACTTTATAACGGTAACATTTTAAATGGTTATGTAAGTACCTTTGTCTTTTGGCCATCACAGTCAAAGAGTTTGTGGTTCTTTTAATAATAAGTGATACACTCTGCTCAGAAGAGAGCTGGAAAGCATACATTGCTGTTGGTCCAAATAATGTGTTAGAATTTGCCCTACAAAATGCTAATTTCACATCATTCATTGTAAAATATTTGGAGGAAATTCTTCCTTTAAATGGTTAGAATGCTAACACTTGGGCTCTTGGAGTGGATGGAATAAGTTTATCTGGAGAATTTGCCTTTATGGATGTGCTTGATTTCCACCCATCAGCGAAGTGACTCTCCAGACCTTCCCAAGGCTCAGAGCTGCATGGGCCTGTTCTTCCCAGCTTCTGTGGTCTGTGACTTCTTTCCTGTGGAGTGCTTTCTAAGAGATTGCCTTTGCCTTCCCTTCCCCGGGATTGGGAGCCCTGAGATTGCTGCCCCAGACCTTACCTGTACCATTTTGGGTGGGAAGGAGGGAAATGGCCGCCTTTTGAGTGATGTATGTTTGTATAACATGTTGCTTGAAGCTTCCTTCCCTGGAGCTAGAAGGTGCTGCCACTCTCTCCTGGTTTCCAGCTCTTGATGTCTTTCAGTGTTACTGGTCCATAGTCCACCATCTTTCATTTTGCATGGCTTATTTCCCATTTTTCCCCCTCACTTCTTTTTTGCATTTTATTTCTCCTGATCATTCAGTAAAGTTTGCTCATCGTAACTGGCGGCTGATATTCTGTGGGGGCTCCTGTTGGTTGTAGGAAGCTATTTCAGCTCTGTCTCCTGTCATGTAAGACAGTGTGACTCTGGGCCTCTGGGCCAGGCTTGTTTCTCAACAGGGTCACACTGTTCCCTGGAGAAGGGAAACTATTTCAGGAAAAAAAAAAAATCTCTAGCGTTTATGTTTTATCATCAAGTGTGGTCAGAGCTCTTAGTGAACTGTTGGCAGTGTATACTGCTGTACTCTGGCTTGTTTTTGAGGCTCGTGTATCAGATTGGAGTTTTACTTTTCTTTCTCCTTTAGAATCATTATTCTGCCTTCCAGCACTATCTTCTTACAGGACAGGATGCTTTTCTCTGATGGAATGTGGAAAGGCATCCGTAAGAAGTAAATAACTAGAGCTGACCTTTCTGGACTTTTCATGCAGATATTTGTGCTTGAGCTAAGGCTAGAGTTTTGAAAGTGTTCTGGGGCCGTGAAGAAAGTTGTACCCTTGTTTATGGTTCATTGTAGCTAGGCACTCCTTTGCCTGACTGCAGCCACCAATCTGACGTTGGATGTCAGGATGTAGACCATTGTAGTAGTGGGCAGACCTCTGGTTTATAGTCTGCCTGCACATGTGGTCCAAAATAGTGGTGAAATCAAACCAGCTCTGTAACATCTCTGATCCTTCCACATCCTTCCTGACAATGTCTAAGGTATCTCTCCTAGCCTACAAGCTTGCCTGGGCTTGAATCCTCCCTATTTTCTTCCATACTCATTACAAATCCCCATTGCTCACAACTAAGTATTTATTGGAGTTCATTTCACCCATTTGGTTGACGTCTTGTGGTGTACAGAGTTTACCTCTGGGTCCCTGTGCCCTCATGCTCATATTGTTTCCTCTCTCCAGTACAGATCCATCCCTTGCTAACCTGCTAAAATCCTGCTCTGGATATAGGCTGTTGTTTTCTTTCTTAGGGAGCTTCCCCAGTTTCCTGACTGGAAGCAGGGGCTCCTGCAGATTGATTTAAGACACTTAGTCCTTCCCAAATGTGTCCAGAATTTCTTACGTTTTAACAAGTGCTTGTGCATGTATGTATGCATATATGCGTGTAATGCTTTGAACTTCAACACCAAAATCCTTTTTCATTTTCCACCTCTTCTCTGAGAGCTGGGACGGTGTTTCATCTGTAGTAGAAGCTCAAGTTTTTGTGTCACCTTGGGCTTTGGGGTGGGACTGGATCATATCCATCCTTAAGAGGCGCCTCACTTGCAGAACTCATTCAGGCCAGTGCCAAGGAGGTAAGAGTTAGGGCTCCAGCCACGGCGCTCTTTATGCCTTTCCTTTGTGCACATACACAATGGGTGTTTGCTTTCTTTCTACACTTCAGAAATTGCCTTTTAGATTATTTAAGCAACGGCAGGCATATGGTTACTTTCCTGGTCTTCCCTTCTGACCTTCCAGCTCTCTGATAAAAGGTAAAGGTTTTGTTTGAGATGCTGCACTTCCCCATACCACTCTGTACACTGTATTTACTGGAAGTGTTTTACTTCAACTAGGTAAGCTTTGAAAGGTTCATCTTATTGCCCCCATGTTAGAGATAAGGAAAACTAAGTCTTGAGACAATAAAGGAGAGTTGTAGTTTGAATCAGATTTTTCAACCCTTTCCCCATTTTTGATTGTTTTATCTCACCAGTTTGTCTCTTGTGCTGGCAATTAGGTGACAGATACTTAACCTGTTTTTCCTGACTTGGCTTTTGGTGGTGACAATCCTAACGTCCTGAAAAGTTCAGGAAAAAAAAGAATCTTGATGTCTTTCTTGTGTTTCTTCTCTTATCCAACTAAACATACAAACTACAGGCAACCTGAATAATCAAGGATAGTGAGGGTGAATCTTTTAGAGACCAAATGCCTGAATTGCAACTCAGAATCCACTTATTTATTACAAAATATCAGCACTGCAGTTAAACCTGAATCTGCATCTGCTAGGGTACTTTGGGGGGCACCATGGTTTACATGCCAGCAGAAGACTCATGTGCCAACAGAGAGGGCTCTGTGAGCCAGCTACAGCATGTGTGCCACAGGTTCACCACCCAAATGCTGGGAGCTCTAGCTGTTTGTATTACCAGCTGGATTTTATGTACTCTTCCTCCGTTTACTTTAATGGGAAATGGAGGGCCAAGTAAAATGCATATTACAACCTTCCTTTCAAACAGCAGAACAAGTCTGTGTTATCAGACTTTAACCTACTGTTCATGCTAGTGTGACATTCAGAACTCTTCTGCTTCACTTTTCAGCAAAGCTGAATAGTCCTTCTGAGGCCAAAGTGATATTCACTCTAGAGGCCTGATAGTTATGCACTCTGAAAACCGGTATTGCAGTTAGGCAGACATTCCAGAGAGCACAGTCAGACTCCATTCCCTGAAGCCAGTCTTTTCCCCAACACTGAGAGCTCTGGCTGCTTGCAGTTATGAGCTGCATAAAGATGTCCTCTTCTCTCAGTCACTTCTGTAGGGAGCAGACAGCCAAGGAAAATGCAAGTCTGTAAACTTCCTTTCAGATAGCAGAATGAGTCTGT